CACAAATTGAATATATTTGTACAAAGATGATTGAGCAACAATAGCCCAGTTTAAACAATGACATCCAGTCTCATCCACTAGAGGGAGTCAAAGCAAACAGCCTTTTTTCAAAGTGGCCTTGAATAGGTCAGTGTGTTTTTCTGGCCTAAAGTGTGCCTAAAATCCCCTTTGATAAGAGCATGGCATGTCCGTGTGCCACGTTATCACATGCTGTGAGCAAATACAGCACTGGTGAGCTCAGATCTTTCTTTCTGTCCAGCACAGCCATCTGAACACCAGCATGTCAGGCCTTAATGCTTCACTAGGCTACTTTTTAGCCATAGTCGGCGTGAGCGCGGTCGGACGGGTGCTGGTCACACGCTGGCGGCCGAGATGGACGTTCCTGACCGAGTTAATCGCCGCTTTCGCTCTCTCCGCCTGTAGACTGGAGGTGGACACCATCGCGGAGGTTGGCCAGTGGGCCGGGGCTCTTGGGCCCGACGTCGCCATTACTATGCTTTTCATATCCATCACCGTCCACGGCATCATCATGCAGGGCGTGAGTGGAAACCCGTCGGTGACGCTCATGGGACTCCTGCAGAAAGACACCGGCGCCGTGGCGGCTGTCCTCAGCGTGGCGGCGCAGTTACTCGGCGCTTACGTTGCGCTCCTGGTCGCCGGTAAGTACTGGCAGATGGAGCTGACCGACATGCACATGATCAAGAACCTGATGATGTCTGAGTGCAGCACGTCGCTGAAGGTCCCGCCGCTGCAGGGAGTCTTCGCCGAAGCCCTTGGAGCCCTGACCTTTCACTTGGTTTACCTCGTCCTGAAGAACAGGTCACAGCTGCTGAGGATTCCCATATTCTCTGTGCTGCTGACGCTCATTTCCTATGCAGGTGATTACTTCTAAAATGCAGATGTTAAATAATGATTGTGGATTTAATTTGTGACTCTGGAGCACAAAACCAATCATAAAGGTAAATTTCTCGAAATTGAGATTCATACATCAGCTGAAAGCTGAATAAATAATATTTCCATTGATGTATGGTTTGTTAGGATAGGACAATATTTGGTTGAGATACAACTATTTGAAAATCTGGAATCTGAGGGTGCAAAACATCTAAATATTGAGAAAATCATCTTTAAAGTTGTTCAAATGAAGTTCTTAGCAATGCATATTACTAATCAAACATTAAGTTTTGATATATTTACAGTAGGACATTTACAAAATATCTTCATGGAACATGATCTTTACTTAATATCCTAATGATTTTTGGCATAAAAGAAAAATTTATAATTTTGACCCAAACAATGTATTGTTGACTATTGCTACAAATATCCCCCAGCGACTTACTGCTTTTGTGCTGCAGGGACACAAATGCACATTAAGTTTTGATATATTTACAGTAGGACATTTACAAAATATCTTCATGGAACATGATCTTTACTTAATATCCTAATGATTTTTGGCATAAAAGAAAAATTTATAATTTTGACCCAAACAATGTATTGTTGACTATTGCTACAAATATCCCCCAGCGACTTAACACTGCTTTTGTGCTGCAGGGTCACAAATGCTTGTATTAAATTAAACACTAGATTTCAAACACACATTAAATAACGATTATACATTTAAAATGCATATTTAAAAATATTGTAGATGGATTGTAGAATGCATATATTAAATAAGAATTTTGCATTTAAAATGCATATATTAAATAATGAGTTTAGTTCTAGTAAAAATACATATATTAAATAAACAGATTTAAAATGTATGCATAGAAAATTGTAGATTCAAAATGCATGTATTAAATGTATTACATAAATAAAGCGCATATATTATATAAAAAAATATAGGTTAAAAATGTGTATAAGGATTGTGCATATAAAATGCATATGTTAATTTAAAAATTGTAGATTTCAAATATTAAAGATTGTAGATTTCAAATGCATATATTAAATTAGGATTGTTTATTTAAAATACATTAGAAAACAAAAAACACAATAAAAATGGTAAATTACATTAAAATACATTAACTATTTAAAATGCATATAATGAATAAAAAGTAGATTTAAAATGCATACATTAAGGATTTTGCATTTAAAATGCATATATTAAATATACAAATATACAATATAAATTGTAGATTTTAAATACATATTAAATTAAAAATTGTAGATAAGAATTGCACGTTGAACTGCATATATAAAATTAAACATTGTAGATTTTAAGTGCACATATTAAGGATTTTGCATTAAAAATGTATAAATTCAGTAAAATTGTAGATTTCAAATTCATATTTTAAATAATAATAAAATTATTACATTAAAAATGTAGATTTCAAATGTTCATTTTAAATAAAGATTGTAGATTTAAAATTCATATAATAAATTAGAATTGCGCGTTTAAATTCATATATTAAATAAAAAATCGTAGATTTCAAATATTAAAGATCATAGATTTCAAATGCATATATTAAATTAGGTTTGTATGTTTAAAATATGTATATTAAATTACAAATTGTAGATATACAGTATTATGCATATATTAAATAAAGGCTGAAAATGTTAAATGCATATTAAATAAAGATTGTACATTTCAAATGCATATATTAAATTAAAATCTAGGTTTAAAATGTATATATTAAAATAAAGTTTGATTAGAAAATCAATTGCACTGTTATGCAAGTACTAGAGTAGTGTCTAGAGCTGTTTTTCACTCAGGAGAAGCTGTTCAGTGGTGAAGTATTTTAGCTCCTTCATCCTCACAAATGTCTCTCACACCAGGAAATAACTACACGTCTGGATATGTGAATCCATCTCTGGCTTATGCCATGACATTCACCTGTCCGGGACACACTTTCCTAGCGTATTCTCTCGTCTACTGGCTCGGGCCTCTGATGGGTGAGTCTTTAATGTTCTTTAATGCCAAGAAAATATTAAAATAGAACTTGTACAGTTCAAACCAGGCTGCTGGTGTTCCCGAGATGTTTTGTTGTTGTAAATTGTGTATTCTTTTAGGCATGACTCTCGCGCTCTTCCTGTATTTGGGAAACATTCCACTGCTGTTCAGCAGGAATCTCCTTTACTCCAAGAAAACACGTTTCCGGGTTCCCAAAGGGAAAACTTCTGAAGAGAAGACCAGCTGAAGAGACCGTAAACACAGACACTTCACAAACCGTATTTCATAGTCACAAAACACTCTACAGTTGAACTGGTGCAACGTCTCTGTTCGGTTGCTCTGCAGCCAGTTTCAGCAAACCCCTCGTCTTATGTGAAATTACTACTAACATCTAGAAGCCAAAGAATATTATATTTAATATATAGCAAAAACATAAAGAAAAATATTGAATAAGGGGGAAAAGGAAAAATCGTGCAAAAGTACAAGTAAATTGTGATGGGTTGCCTATAAATGCCACTTTGATTAAACATTCAAAGTATGCCACAGTGTAATAAAATTATTTGTACATATTTTTAGTCTTTCATAATTGCTGTTCTTCTTTATACTGGCCTAGTTTAGAAAATACAGAATAAACATTTTTAACATGATATTTGTAGAACAAAAGGTAACGACGCTCACCATGCAGTCTTGATGTGCTTATCTACATTTATTCTAACAACAGTAGCCTATATTTGATTTGAGTGCAGCAGAACAACAAAAATAGCAAAACACTATATATATATATATATATACACACACACACACACACAAATATATATATATATATTAGTAGTCAACATCTGAAGTGGATCAAAACCTTTCATCAAAGTTGTCCAAAAACCAAAACAATAACCGTTCTTGTTTTAGGACAATTTTGATGAACTTTTTTGATCCACTTCAAATGTTGACTACTATATATATATATATATATATATATATATATATATATTGTGTGTGTGTGTGTTTCATCTATTGTTAGGTTTATCTTTGGTCTTTGTAAAAACTAAAACCATCAGATTACTTGTTAGCGCTACAGTCAGTAACTTATTCTCACCAGCAGAGGTCACTGTCTTTATACATTCAGACCGACTCTGATGTAATCAAGTACAATTTAGAAAGGATTTTTTTCACTTAGCCAGTGTGGTAAGTACTAGAAAAGTATTTTTAATTTTCGTAGGCCTTTTTAGTTTTTACTTTTTAATTCATTACCTTATATATGTACTAGTTTTGTACCAATTTACAGGTTAAAACGGCATATACATTTTTGTGTGTCGTTTCTCACGGCTTTTTTAATTTCCTCGCTAGCCGTTTTGTTCGATTCACGAACAAATGACTCGTTTGAATCGAATCTTTTATTGAATCGTTTAAAGAGACTCCTGAGCTCAGGCGTTACTGATTGGTTTGAATCATTCTGACCAATCTTTCACAAGTTATTGTTACTTTCAGCAGGTTCTCTCTGTTTGTTTGAGTAGATATGTTGGCGTTGTAGCCGACATAAAGTCATCACAACAGGCATGAGGTTTCTGTAGTATTACACTGACCTGAATAGATACAAATGCATTAAAACGCTGTTCATTTAACGTGCTTAAGTGGAGCCTGAGTTGTTTTTGAGGGCAGTAAAGCACTTTTTAATTCATTACCTTATATATGTACTAGTTTTGTACCAATTTACAGGTTAAAACGGCATATACATTTTTGTGTGTCGTTTCTCACGGCTTTTTTAATTTCCTCGCTAGCCGTTTTGTTCGATTCACGAACAAATGACTCGTTTGAATCGAATCTTTTATTGAATCGTTTAAAGAGACTCCTGAGCTCAGGCGTTACTGATTGGTTTGAATCATTCTAACCAATCTTTCACAAGTTATTGTTACTTTCGACAGGTTCTCTCTGTTTGTTTGAGTAGATATGTTGGCGTTGTAGCCGACATAAAGTCATCACAACAGGCATGAGGTTTCTGTAGTATTACTCTGACCTGAATAGATACAAATGCATTAAAACGCTGTTCATTTAACGTGCTTAAGTGGAGCCTGAGTTGTTTTTGAGGGCAGTAAAGTGGGGCCTGAACTCAATGCCTCTGTGGTTAATTCTGCTGTTTGAAACACAGTGTGTGGGTGAGGTGTGTTTTTTCTCACAACCGCAAAGTAACTTTATGAGAACAACAGACTACAAAACTGACTTAATACATAATTACTAGAAAATGAATGAGACGGATCTCTCTCTTTATTGGTTTACTAGCAAGCCAGAGCATCTCAACAGAAGAAAAGAAGCAAAGCTAGCTACATTTTAGTAAATATGTCAACATATGTTCTAAACACGACGCTCACAGATCGAGCACTGACGTTCAACATTTAATAACGCTAACATTATCACTCTAAAGATTTAACACACAAGCTTTAAAAATAAAAAAAATGTTAAAGTGATGTTAAGTTCAACACTGAAGCTTGTATAAAAAAAACAACAACACATTTCACATTGAAGCACTGCATTGGAGCTTGATTCGTTTTGAGAAAAGCATGTTATCTATGACGTCCGAAGCTTCATTCGCCTGAAAACCACGTGACTGCTTCAGTATCTGGTTCAAATAAAGCGAACCTCAGCGCCGTTTCCTTTATATTACATTATAATGTGTTGGCATTGTTTTTTTTGTTTTTTTTTGTAATTTATATATTGAGCTCAAAAATGCATTTTGGCCATAAAATATCAGTCTAAGGACTGAGGCAGAGTTAAAATAAACATCATAGATTTTATTTATATATTTAACTTATTGTGCCAGTATACCGACACGAATGACTTTGACAATATACATTATTTATATAAAATATAATAAAGCAAAAAATCAGTTGTAGAAGCCAGAAGTGTGGGATTATAAAGTCATGATTCTGAGCTGAGGGGAAAAGAGAGAATGACGAGTTTATTTTTCTTATCAGAATTGTGAAATATAATCTCGGAATTGCGAGAAAAAAGTCAGAATTTTGAATTACAAACTCAAAGTTACTTTTTTAATTCCATGGTTTCCGTAGAATGCTACTTTAAAACTGTCATTTTGTGCCACCTGATAGACTCCGCCCACAAAAACCGTCATCACTGTTTGCAAACACCAAATAAAAAATCAACAGAACTTAAAGGCTGAGACTTATCGTGTTACATTAACAGTAAAAAAACGTTACATATTATTTACAAGCATTTATACCGTCAATCAAAAAGCTTGTGAATAGTCACGTAACGTTATTTGCCTCAGAAAAGACAAGAATAAGTGAAGTTTACAGTGTTGGAGCCCTTAACTAATAACATTTTTTTTTGCATATGGGCCCGGGGCAGACTTGCTACACCACTGGCATTATTGTTTCACGTTTGGTGAAAACGCGGCGTCAGACCTGAAAATGCTTGATCTGAAGATGATCTACTTACTGTGAATATTTTTTGTATGTGTGTGTAAAGTAGATAATTGAGTGAAACACTTCTCGCATGTAGTGCAGTAATAAGGTTTCTCTCCAGTGTGGATCCTCTCGTGTTTTTTCAGGTTTCCTGACCGACTGAATCTCTTGTCGCAGTGCGAACACATGTAAGGTTTCTCTCCGGTGTGAATCCTCTGGTGCAGTTTTAAATTTTCAGCTTTAAGGAAGGTCTTCCCACACTCAAAGCACATATAATCTCTCACACCAGTGTGTATCTTCTGATGTTCTTTTAAACTTTGCGGCAGTGAAAAACTCTTTCCACACAAAGAACATGAATATGGTTTCTCCTTCGTATGAATTCTCAGGTGCTCCTTCAGGTTTGAAGCCCACAAAAATGTTTTTCCGCACTGATCACATTCATGCAGCTTCTCTCTAGTGTGGATGTTCATGTGCTCCTTAAGTTTTGATGATTGTGTACAACTCTTCCCGCACTGATCGCATGTGTACGGTTTCTCTCCAGTGTGGATCCTCTCATGGGATTTCAGATTTCCAAACTGACTGAATCCCTTGCCACACTGAGTGCAGGTGAAAGATTTCTTTGCTTTTCTTTTCTTTAAATCTTTCCGTTTGGTTTGAGAGCGACTCGGTTTCTCCTCCTTTTCATCCAGTTCTTCATCATTCTCCTCAATTTCATCAATCAACTCTGAAATAAAAGTAAAATGTTTGATTTTCAGTAAATCACAGACAGAAATGAGTAAAGAAAGGACATAAAAGTGAACCCTGATGTAACAGTGGGAAGTAGACAATTGCTATGATGTATTTTTAATAATTTAAATATCTCTGCAACTTTCCGTGAACGAGGAACAATGATCTTCCCGTTTTTTATTACATTACAGGCACAAATCCTGTTTTTATAGTGAGAACTATTAAATCAACTCCACAATTGTCTAACATAAATTAATTTTGCTGAAAAAATGCACTCTCTTTATAGAAAGCGTCCTTATGCTGCTTCAACTATATTATTTCACAGCATTATATATTTTTCCTATTACAACAAATCTAAGTCATACAAACTGCTCGAAGCTTTATATTCTTATTGATCTTCAGCCTCATTAATGAAGGATCAAGAATAAACACCAACCTGTTTGTTCTTCAGTGCGTTTCATCTGGCAGGGTTCTGTCATATTCTCACGTGGTAAAATTCTAAATCTGTAATTAAATGTGAAACTGAGAATGAAAAACCTTCTTTTTGATCCTTTAATTCTTGCAAGAATGGTCAATCTAACAGAGAGACAGGAGGCAAATCAGGCAAATCATCTCTGTTTTACTGGGAAAGGCTGTGCAAGATCTACTTTGACCTTCAGTTTTATCTCTTCAAACTAGTTCTAACCGGTTTTAGCCACGTACACAGAAAATACTGAAGGCCAAAAACTGCAAATAGAACATGTGGAAAATAAGAAGTAAAGAAAAATGTCCACACAAATGTAAAAATCTATTTAAGAAACAAATAATCTGCTAATTGACTTTAACATAACTATTTTGTTTGTGATTTATATGAAACATGGTTCGTCACAGATTAATGAATAAATATATAGTTTAGTCATGAAACTCTAGATGGCGCAGGCTGACGGGTTGTTAACGTAACTGATGATATTCAGAAAGTTAAACGACTTGGCACAAGCTGATTGGTTCATGCTGCATATGCAGCCAATGAGCTTACTGCCTTGCATTTATATAGCTGGCTAGCATTCACTAGAGATTCCTGCAGTGCGCTTTCAGAGTTCTCTGAAACCCTCCACCTTCCCCAGCTCCACCTGTATAGATCTGCTACGGGGTTATTTTATATGCTATTTGTGCAGCAGCAGTATGTCTTAAATACTCACAGCACCGTATCCCCGTATACATTGGCAGCAGCAATAATCTACAACTACAGCAATAACCAACAGCAGCAGCAATTCAGCAGCAGTATAGCAGATATATTCCGCCAAGA